AATTCCAATTCATAGAGGCCCTCTCATGAGTACATGCTCTCAAGGAACCTAGCTGACCCACCTCATGCTCTCAAGGAACCTAGCAGGCTCCTCCCCGACACCTTCACAGGGGACGTGGCAGGCTGTCCCCACCTCATCCTCTCAGGGGACACAGCAGCTCTCCTCCCCCCTCAGGGGGACATGGTGGGCTGTCCCCACCTCATCCTCTCAGGGGACACAGCAGCTCTCCTCCCCCCTCAGGGGGACATGGTGGGCTGTCCCCCCCCCAGTCCTCTCAGGGGACACAGTGGACTTTTCAGGGGCTACGGGACAGGAGACACTGCAAAAAACAACAGAGATGAACAAGAGACCCCACTTTCTAGTCAGCCAGACGAGAGATGTGGAAAGACAGCAACCAGACCATTCTTTTCACTCAAGTTTTTAGAAAAGTTTTTATAAAAACATGCTATCTGTGTTGATATGTAGTGAGTTTATTCTCAATTCATATTCTAACACTTTCTCCATTTTAACTTCAAATATGGTAAATACTGGTAGATAGAAGCTACAGAAACAGCAGCCCTCCGGGGTCCTCCATGACTTTTTGGGGAGCAAAGGGATCCTGAGACCAAAACGTCTGCCAACTGCTCCTGGATGCGAAGCCCTCGAGCGGGACTCTGACCGCCCCCCATGTCTCCCCAGCACATCCGTTCATGCCGATGAGTCACCAAACGTTTACTGAGCACCTACTGCATCCCTGGAACTGCCCCAGGTGCTGACATGGCCGCGGAGAAGCCAGACAAAGCAGCTCTCCTCCACGACTGCTGTCACCACCTGGTGGGCACAGCACTGAGTGAAGGGCTGAAACTTCAGAAGTTCACACAGAAAAAGTTAAAAGGCTGGAGGACTGGCACCAAATCCGACACACACAGGTGACCGCCCTTAATGTATCCTGAACTCTTGCACATGTGGCAGACTCCGGGGGGCAGAGCAGTGGGCAGAGAAACAAAAGGGGACATCCAAGTGCTTAGGGAGAAGTTTAACTGCTAGAGATCAAAGAAACGCCAGCTGAGGCCCCACAGTCTTCACAGGGCCTAAGCATTCGACTGCTAACCACAGGGCTGGGGGTTCAAACCCACCAGCTGCTCATCGGAAGGAAGGTCAGGCAATCTACTCCCGTAGTGATACCTCCTCGGAAACACAAGGAGGGGTCACTGAGTCGAATCGACTCGACTGCAGTGAGTTTAGTGGCTTTTGTTTGTTTTTAATCCAATCAACCAATCTCTAGTGAGACCGTGAGACCGGGACACTCATCCCTGCCAGTGGCACAGAAGGTGACACGATGTTGCTGGAAGCCATGTCTTTGGAATTGTAGTAAGAGCTTCCCACCTTTCTATACTTGCACGCAATCACCGCCTCTGGGAATCCAGCCTCAGGAAGCGCCCTGACACCAGGAAACGGCTTCACGCACACAGGAAGTCATCTCTTTGTGACAGAAAACCCAACAGCAGCCCTGGGATCGATGGCTGGCCCACTGTCCATCTACTGAAAGGACAGTGCACGGCCGCCCCACAACAAACCAGCAAAGGGCGTGGGAAGACGGAACAGAAAGAGTGACAATGAATTACAGAAGGGGTTTCAAACCTCCACCACAACCCCAAGCGAAGAAAAGACGACTGGGGATGGGGCTGGGACCTGGAGAGAGACACTAAAAGGCTCCTTTTACCTCCTATTTTCCCAAACTCCTGTGATGTGCAGGTTAGCTTCAACAGTGAACAGGCTGGGGACCCTCTTGCTTGTTCAGGGAGGAGCTGGTCCTGAGATGACACCGTGGGAGACGCTGGTTCCACTCGGTCACTACTGGACAGTGATATCGGCCCTAAACCCCAATCCTGTCCCATCCACCAAGCAGCTTCCTCCGTCCAGCCTGACAGTCTGTTCCCACTTCCTTTCCAAGGGGCCTCTTCTGTGTCTTCATTCCGAGGTCTGAGCTCATGCTTCCCTTGCATCTCTGGGTGCAGAACCACAGGGGCTTCTGCCGGGGGGCCGCCTATGGGACTCTCCTCTTCCCACCCAAACCCCGCCCTCAGGAGGCCTTCGGTCAAATCAGAGGCCTGGGTCCCTTCCGTTCACCCATGCATCTGCCCAACACTTCCCGTGTGTTCCCTCTCCTAAGGGCCTAACGGGCAGGACTGTGGTCTTTGGGGGTGACACGGGGCACATGCATCAGGAAAGTCGAATTTTCCACTCCTTGTCACTGACAGTACAAACTTCACCACCAAGGAGATGGTCTTTGCCATTTCCAGAAGTCACGGCATCAGGACTTTAAATCAACTAAGGTCATACACCATGCATGGTGTATATACAGCTGCCCTGTACTCTAGACCCCATCACAAATCAGGCCTGCGATGCAAAACTCAGTTAGCAGATGGGGCGCTGTGGAGACCAGAAAGACACTGACATAGTCAAACAATGTCAACAGCATGGGGACACCTAGAACTTGCCCTCACATGTGCTGTTCGACGCCACTAACTGCTCCTCTCCTCTCTACTAAAGGAAAGTACCACCAGGATTCGCACAGGGCACCTCCCCCCACCACTGGCTTCTTCAGCTGAGTCCCCCCATCTCTGTGTCTGCACGGAGCTGTCTCAGCCTCTTCAGCCGGGGACTCAGGTGTCCTCCACGAGACCCACGGTGGGTTCCTCAGCTCCTCCAACAGGGACTCCTTCCAAGTCTGATGTGCAGTGCAACCCGCTGACCCTCTCATCTGCTCCATTTCCCAAAGCAGTGCACCACCATCAAGGTCACAGATGGACAACAGCACCAGGCCCAGACCATCCATGTAAACACCCAAGGACAAAACCCAGTGGGCCACCAAACCCAGTGAGTCAGCCTGGGCACTACCAGCCATTGCAGTGAGGCTCGTCAGAGACATGGGCAGGGAGGACAGCCCCAATGCAAACACACTAGCACTTTCCAAAACCCACTTGTGCAGACCCAGGGCTGGAGGTTCAAACAGAGCGACACATTCAGGGAAATGTCCTCCATTTCGACACAACAGAGCTCCTACCCTGCCTGGGCTGGGCCACAAGGAAACCTTCAGGTTGTCTCTCACCCCTGCAGGGCGCTGGACCCCCACGCAGAGCACCCCTACCTGACAGGCTCACACATGCTACCAACACAGCTGCAGAGCACCAAGAGAGAGGGGGCCGTGCGCCCCGTCACTGCCACCCCCACGGGGGGCCCCTCTGCACATCTGTTCTCCATTCACGCTCAATGAGCACCACAGTCCCCTGAGCAGCCTCAGTGGGTCAGGAAACGGAGGTCTCAGTCCAAGCAGCTGTTGAACAGGGCACCTGGGCTACCACAGTTTATGACGAGCCGGCGGCCGTGGTCCACGCACCCCAGCAACCAACACCCTTGACCTCACGAGGCACTGGTTGCTTTAGGGATGCAATCTTCATTAAAACTCTTAAGAGAGAGGGGGTGCCCTAGAACTGAATCCAGGTACCAAGACATGTGTCCCTGGATTGGGCAGAGCCTGGCCCTTTGCAGTCCAGCCAGGATCGTTTGGACCAGGGGCAGATGAAGTCAAGGTAAGGCACCCATCTCCCCCCATGGTCTAGGTGGTCACGTGAATGTGGTTCATTTGCCATTGAATTGGTGGCAGCGCCACAGTCCAGGGCTTGCCCAAGTCTCCTTTAGGAAGTGGTTGCCTGGGCCCATGCTGTGAGGAAGCACACAGCCTTCCACCCCTAGGAGGGGCAGCTTTGTCCCTGAGAATTAGGACAAGAGGACCACACAACAGGAGAGGTAGTCCACTGTTCCATTCCTTGACAAATGCCACCGAGGCCCTGGCTGGGGTTGCCAAAGGCAGAGACCTCCCTGCCTTGCATGCCGAGTCCTGTAAGCGGAGGACATTTCCCTGAACAAAAGCTGGGTACCCGAGGGCAGCACAGGTGCTGGAAGGACCAGCCTGCAGAGGCTCTGGACCTAGAGATGGTGTGGCAGCTGCAGAGGCTGAGAGGAAGGCCACGGATCGCCTGAAGGAAGAAGCGAATGGGCCTCAAGGAAGGCCAGGCCCAGCGCCAGCAAGCAGCACGGAGGCAAAGAGGAGATGTGGAGATTACCATGGAAGCCCTGGGGTGAGAGTCAGCTGTGTCCCCTCAGCCTGAGTGAGCCTCCAGTGAGGACCCACGTGGGTCTGCTGTCTAGGTCAGTCTGATGGAACCACCCAGTGGCCCAAAGTCCACACTGGCCTTATGTGCCAGGAAAGTTCCAGAACCTCAAACATCCGGAAGCTATCGGCACATGGAGACATTCTGACACTGGTAGAGGTGCCTCCTCAAGGGGACCCTCCCTTCACTGCACATTTAGGTCTTTCTAGGGGGCTTGAGGGACGGGACAGACTGGACTGTGTATTCACGTGCCAAGGGAAGCCTGCCCCTAGCAATGCCACAACTACTCCTAGCAGTGATCCCCTGGCCAGGACAGCAGGGCCTGGGCCGGGCTGGTGAGCATCTTCGCACAGGAACCACAGAAGGACCCCTTCTCACAGGACACATGAGCTACCAGCTTGGCCAAACTGGCTTCTCACTATCCAGAGCTCCTCAGTGAGAACAGGGCGCCCAGGTGAGGAGCTGCAGACGGTGGAGGAGGCGCCTCCGTGCACCCAGCCAGGCTGGGAGGGTCAGCCCGAATGGTTTGTAAGCGTGTTGTGGCATCCACGTGCCTAAATAGCAGAGTCGCAGTCATTAGCATAGCTGGGGCTGCAAGTAACAGAGTGGGAGACATGCACTGAACGGTAGGTACTAAGCCAGTGCAGAACACTGGGGAGCACAGCAAGGGGGGTACTAGGGGGCCCCAGAGTGATGAATGGAAGGTCTCCTTCTGGAGCAGGACTGGAGCGGCAGGAAGAGGTGCCTTCAAACAAGGGCTATGCTGCTGTACGCACACTTTGTCTCTGCAACAAAGGGTGTGTGCTACCTGCGGGCTGCAGATCCCACCAGCGTGGTGGCGGGCTCTTAGAGGTTCCGTGCTTGGGTGGGCAAAGCCGGAGCTGGGCTAGTCCCACTGGAGGCGGGATGCACGGGGCAGGACCCTGTGCCCACGGTGGCCACCTGATGACACAGCCTCTGCCACTCACGCACAGCCCTATTTGAGGCACAAGTCTTCCGGATCTGGGCCCGCCGAGCGTGCAGCAGGGGCAACTTGTAGGTACTCCGCAACTCCGCCAGGAAGCCCTGGTAGTTGTCTCACAAGGGACTGTCTGGCTGCATGTGGGGGACGGCCCACTTCTCAGCCTCCCCAGTCAGACGGGACACCAGGCAGGCCACCCGCTCTGCCTCCCCCGGGAAGTGGGAGGCCTGGAAGATCATGAACCTGTTTATCTGCACCAAGAACCCCGCCAACTGGCCGGGGTCTCCGGAGAAGGGCTCCGGCAGAGAGGTGGGCGGATGGTCATCGGCCGAGTCCCGGTGGAGGCGACTGCAGAGACGGGTGGGGTGATCTGCAGCGCCCCGGGAATCCGCGCCCTGGTGCGCAGCGGGGTCAGCTCGGCCGTCACGCGCTGCAGCACGTTGGGGAGGTTGGCCTTCTCGGCGCGCAAGGTGGAGACCTCCCTCCGCAGCTCCGAGTTGGTGAGGCGCTGGGAGGTCAGGGTGTCCATCACGTCCTCCGCGTGGCCGCTCGTGGATGCTGCGGAGGCTGAGGCTTCGGGGTTTGACGTGTGGGGTTGCACCATGCTGGCCAGAGGTCAGCCAAGGGCCAACCCGGAAGTGGGTGGGCCAGGGGGATCCAGGATGGAGATAGGGGTTAACTCACGGTGGAAATGACCCTAAAAGAGGGGCTGACCCAAACAGAAATCGGGAATGGACGAGCTCCGGACTAGAGAGCGTGGCTGAAGAGACCAAACCACACGGCAGGGCTGACGGACCCTGGGGCTCCGCAGGGTCGGTCCGAGCGGTTGTGCAGGGCCCACGGATCGAAGCCTCGGTCCTGCGCAGGTGGACTTGCTCTGGGCCCTGAAGGATCAAAACAGTATTTTCAACACGGTTTCGACGTTGCAACGGGGGTCAGAGGTCAGAGGTAGGCTGAGCAGGATGGGGGGGGGCAGGCCTTGCAAAGCCCGGCCCCGCCCGCGGAGAACAAAAGCGACAATGGCGGCCGGCAGGGGGCCCCGGGGGCAGCTGCATACCTGCGTCTCCGCGGTTTCCTCCGCGGCTCCCGTCTACTGCCGGCTGCGACCAAGATGGTCAACGTGGCTGCGGCCCGGCCTGAACTGCTTCCCGGTCAAGCGGGGCGCGGGGCGCGCGGCGCTACTGCAGCAGGAGGACGGACAGGAGGCGGCGCGGCCTGCAGCAGGCGCGGGACCACGACTGGGACTTGGCGGCCAGGGAGGCCCAGTCACCGCGTGGCCTTTGTCCGGGCGGGGTCGGCGGGGCCAAAGCAACAGGAAGGCCTCCAGCGCGCTTCACGGGTTGCCATGGCGACCGCCCGCGCCCTAGCGTGAGGCAGCCGAGGCCCCGCCCCGGAAGTGGTGCGCCTGGCCCCGCCCCACCCCGCGCAGCTCCGCCTCCAGGAGCAGCTTCCTGAGCAGCCAATCAGTGATCACTGTGCTTATGTTATTAACGCTGTGGGCGCCTTCACTTCTTTTTTCCCTCGTTGATTTTTCCCGGGAGTGCTTGAAAAACTGTTCTTTGTGTGTTGTATTTTTTTAAAATAAAGTTGATCTCCTTAGGCAAAAACATTGTTCTATATCCTACTTTGATAAGACAGAGAAATCTAAAAGAAAACTTCAAATCACTCAGTCCCTTTACTCAGAAATAGCAAACAATAATATTCTTGGTAATTCTACCTGTTTTCCTATTATATAGTCTAATACAAAATATTGACTTTTGGACCATGTGGACTGTTTTGTAACCTTAATACCAAAAAACAGACCCATTGCCATGCAGTCGATTCCAACTCAGAGACCCTATGGTGCAGAGTCGAACTGTCCCATAGGGTTTGCAAGGCTGTAATCTTCAAGGAAACAAACTGCCACATCTTTCTTTTCTTGAGCTGTTGGTGGGTTTGAACAGCTGACTTTTAAAATAGCAGCTGAGCTTAACCATCGCACCACGAGGACTCCTTGTAACCAGCACACTGGATTTTGAGCATTTTCCCATTAAAGACACTTCAAAAGAATGATTTTCAGTCATTGCCCAGTCTTCATTGAATGCATGCACCACAATTTATTTACCCATGCCCCTTTTAGTACATTTCTAGCTTATTTTCCATGCTGAAGTTTTATAAACTACACTTGTGCATAAACCCCAGCCAATGGATAAGGCATGTGGCTGCTGACCAGGTCAGCAGTTCAAACCCAGCAGCCACTCCAAGGAAGGAAGCGGGGGATCTACTTCCATAAAGATTAACAGCCTTGGAAACCCAATGGGGGTCTCTATGAGTTGGAATTGACTTGGCAGCAGTGGGTTTGGTTTGGAGGTTTTCTCTGCCATCTTCCCTGGGGCAAATACCAAGAAGTCAAAGTAGTGAGTTAGTGAGATCTGGATGTCTGCTCCCCTTGGCTTTGCTGAGTTGCCTTTGCTGAGTGGCCACTTCTGGGCTGAGGCATGGCTGGTGAGAGAATACAATGCCAATGTTCAGTGGGTGAAGTCTGCAAGTGACCTGAAGTTGCTGACAGCTGCCTGAACTCCTCAGGCAGGCCTGGGACATAGTTGGACACCCTTTTGCCTTTACAAATTTCTCCTTTGTAAAATGGGAATTTCTGTTCCCCATTCCACAACTGAAACCTTTTTAAATGTATTATTTTAATGCTTCAGAGCCCAGAGCAAGTCCACCTTCTGTCCTGCCTACCTGGCCATGTGAGAGTGGCAGTCAAGGTACTGCATCTTGTATTGGGACTTAGATCCCCAAGAGCCTCTCCAAATCTAGCTGTCCCCAAATCTATCTACCCCAGTGTGCTAAAGGGTACAATTTTTGTGGCTAGCTCAAAACTTCTAGAGTATAAGGCAAGAGAGGAGAGAAGTGTAAGTTCCTTAAACTACCTCCATGAGATGTCCTAAATCAGACAGATGAAGTAGTTGTGTTGACCTTGACTGTGGTCAATGACTTCAATGACTCCCCTCTCCCTCCAAGTTCATCCCAAACACAGGAATCCCCATCCATGCCTGTGAATCACCCCACCAATCTCACTTCCTCAGCACCAGGGCTGTACCTTCCCAGGTTTCTGGAGGCTGTGCATGAGTGAAGTGTCTGCTGCTGTTCCAGTTGTAGTTGGCCTTGCAATTCTCCAGTTCCCAGATGACTGAAAGTGAGAGGCTCTCTGATTCCACACATGGCAAACCATGTAGAATTGAAGAATCTATCATTTATTTGTACTTCACCTTATTTCAAGTAGGATTTAAGATGGAATCTCAAGGGGTGAGAAAAAAGTAAGATAAAAATGAAAAGTAGATTTTTAGAAAAATAAGAAAAACAAGAGAAAAAAAATTTGGCTTCTGGCCTATGGAGGCTCTGACTCACAGTCTGGGGCAGCCCTCTCTGTTGTGAGCATAGAACAAAGGTGAACTATAGAAAGAAAATATTGGAAGGCTGTGGTTAGGCTCAAAAACAAGATAAACTTTACTGGGGTTCAGATTACAAACTGCTGAGTGTTAACAAAGCCATGGGCTTGATGGCTCTGGGTTCCTAGGGATAATTGGAAAATAAGTCTGGGAGCAGAGCCAGGCTTTCTATTTAAAACCAGGGCTGGGAAGGGAGAAAGGCGCCATTATGCCAGAAGGGAGTCTGAAAAATCTGCCTTTGGCTGTGTGATAAGGAACAACTTATGTGAAGGTGGGGCCCTGGGTCAAGGGATAACACAGATGTAATCTCAATGAGCAGACCACAGAGAACCAGGAATTTTGAGTCTTTGTAAAACATGAACATAAGACATGCTTCTGTTCGGTAGGTCAGGAATCAAAGCTGCTAGACAGGGAGAGATCAACACAGAGAGAAGGAGGGAAGGAAATACTCTCCCCAAAATGAGACTAAAAACCAAAATTCTGAAGCCCATGAAGACATCTAATGCAAAAAAAAAAAAACAGCCAACACAATCAGTACTTAAAATATGAATCAATTCCACATGAGATTAAAGTAATAGACTAGTCTACTGGGAAAAAAATCATTTAAAACGAGCATATTTGGGACCCTCACAGGGAGCAGTGAAGGAATAACATTCATGAAAACCAAAATACATTGAGGAGGAAAAAAGCAGAAAAGATCAGCTGGTTATGAAAAATAAAATAAAAATGTCTTTCAAAAGCATCTCCTTCCAGGAAGATGGAGAAGATGGACTTGTCCCTATTCTTCTCACTATGAACAACTGAAACATTACAATCCAAAAAACTCTAAAAGGTGGAGAGAAGACACAGACTGGATAGAAACCTTGGGAACTGAGGGACATGTAGTGAGTTCCCTTGATTTCCTTTTTGCCTGACATAGATATGTACCAGAGTTGGAGTTGAAGAAGCTGGCAACCAGAAATGCCAATGAGAACAGACAAAAAAAACAAGCAAAAAGCCAGCTCACTCTGCCCAATGGACCAGGAAAAAGGCAGCCTTGTAAGACAGAAAAGTTTTAGAGAGTAATCGTTCTACTGCTCCAGCCAAACACCACAGGAAATTTGTGGCCTCACCCCTACTCATACAAGCAAAAGCCAAATGGGGTGCTTCCTGTGGCAAGGGTGTAACAACATGCCCCAAAACGTCCACCAAGGTGGTGTCAGAGGAAGCTAAAAGCTTCCCACATTTGAGGGGCAACATTAATCTACACATAAAGAAACTCAACAAATGCAACCAAGATAAACTCAAAGAGAGCCACACCTACATACATCATCATCAAACTGTCTAAAGACAAAGACAGAAGGAAAAACTTGAAAACAGCAAGAGAGAAGCAGCTTATCACGTATAAGATATGCTCAATAAAATTGACAGCTGACTTTTCATCAGAAACTATGGAGACCAGAAGGCAATGGAATGACATATTCAAAGTACTGAAAGAAAAGGACTGTCAACCAAGAATGTTCTATCCAGAAAACTCCTTCAGAAAGAAGAAGACATTATGATATTCTCAATAAACAACAGTAAAGGATTGTCGCTAGGAGACCTGCCCTACAAGAAATGTTAAAGAGAATCCTTCAGGCTGAAGTGAACAGTCACTCAAAAAGTAAAGATATCTACATAGGTAAATACAAGAGATAACATTGCTCTTTTCTGTCCTACTTGAGGTAAAAGACAACTGCATAAAGCACTAATTATAAATCTATGCTAATGAGCATTCAGTATATGAATTTAGAGTTTATATGACAACAACAGCACAAAGGAAAGAGAGAAGGTGGAGCTTTAAAAGACCACAGCACTGTAAGCCACTGAAACAAAGTTGGTATTCATCCAAACTAGACTGGCATAAGTTAAGGTGCTGATGGTACTCCCCAGGGCAACCACTATGAAAATGACTAAAAAAAAAAGTAAAATGGCAAGGAGATTAAAAAGTTACTCTAGAAAATATCCATTTAACACTAGAGTAGACAATAATAGAGTAAGACAGGGACAAAACAACAGAGAAGACACACACAAGGGAAATAACAAAATGGCAGATGCCCTGCCTTATCAGTAATACATTGAATCTAAATTGATAAAAATGCCACTCAAAATTCAGAGATTGACAGAACGATTGTTTGTTTGTTTGTTTTTTCTT